GCTGGAAGTTTAGCACACCTCTGTGCCGACCTCAACTTCCCTGGAGACTCCCCTGGGTGGGCGAGACCACAGGGGTGCCTTCTTCCTCTGCACCCTGAATGTATGAAATACCCACCCCGGCACTTCCCACAGTCTTCCATTCACTCCTCCTTCCCCTCTTCCTCCTTTCCTGAGCTCCTGATCTTTGCCACTCTCCAGCCAGGTACCAGGGGGCAAGAGACGACTTGGACGTGGATCCCGCTCCAAGAAGGCAGAATGTTTTCGCCAGGAGTCACACCCTTACACGCTGAAGCACAGGCAAGAAACTGAAATGAATGGAGCAGGCAGGGTGAAGGGTTGTGGGTAGCTCATTTTAGCTGAAGGGTAAGGTGGGGGATTGTGGCCATGTGAAGAGCTGGGGGGATAAATGCTGAGGCAGACCTGGAATTTGTTCTTTTTGTAGTCACAAGACTTGTGTTCAAGATGGAAGCCCAAGGAAATATTGGAGGTTCATACCCAAAACCCCAAACACATACATACACTGAGCAAAATATTAATGTAAGAAGTGTTGCTTTTTTTTTTTCTTTAATAAGATAGCTGAGCTCAAAAGCTCAGGGTGTGAAATCAAGCAGCCCATGGGAATGCTGGAATCCTGGAATCTCTATGATTGGAGTTTTAATGCCCACATAGGGACAGAGGTCAAGGCTAAGGCCCCAAGAACAGCAGGGAGTGGAAACTGAGCTCCCTACACAAAGCTGGGAGCTGAAAAAGGGCTGTCTAGAGCTGGGCACAGGGATTTGCACCTACCTGTAAACCCAGCTATTTGGGAGGCTGAGGCAGTAGGATTACTTGAGCCCAGGAGTTTGAGACCAGCCTGGACAACACAGCAAGACTCTGTCTCAAAATTTTTTTTTTTTTTGAGACAGAGTCTCACTGTGTTGCCTGGGCTAGAGTGCCGTGTCGTCATCCTAGCTCACAGCAACCTCAAACTCCTGGGCTCAAGTGATCCTTCTGCCTCAGCCTCCCCAGTAGCTGGGACTACAGGCATGTGCCACCATGCCCGGCTAATTTTTTCTATATATTTTTAGTTGTCCAATTAATTTCTTTCTAATTTTAGTAGAGACGGGGTCTCGCTCTTGCTCAGGCTAGTCTCGAACTCCTGAGCTCAAACAATCCATCCGCCTCGGCCTCCCAGAGAGCTAGGATTACAGGCGTGAGCCACCGCGCCCGGCCTCAAAATTTTTTAAAAATGGCTTTCTTGGCCAGGCGAGGTGGCTTGCGCCTGTAATCCTAGCACTCTGGGAGGCCGAGGCGGGCGGATCATTTGAGCTCAGGAGTTCGAGACCAGCCTGAGCTGAGACACCATCTCTACTAAAAAAATAGAAATCAGCTGGATAACCTAAAATATATAGAAAAAGTTAGCCGGGCTTGGTGGTGCATGCCTGTAGTCCCAGCTACTTGGGAGGCTGAGGCAGGAGGATCGCCTGAGCCAGGAGTTTGAAGTTGCTGTGAGCTAGGCTGATGCCATGGCACTCTAGCCCAGGCAACAGAGTGAAACTCTGTCTCAAAAAAATAAATAATTAATTAATTAAAAACATTTAAAAAATAAAAATGGCTTTCTTTTCTGGGAACAGAAGATGGAGAAGGAAAAATATCCATCCAAAGGCCCTGGCATGCAGCAGGGAAGCAAGCCACCCAAAAGGCAGTGAATGGAAAAAGCCATCATGGGCAATCCAAATCCCAAGGCTTACCAAAGCATAGGCCTGGATTCAGACCAAACCTCTAATGCAAAAACCTGCTCTGAGGAACTCATGAATAAAAACAATCAGAAACCTGTATAGCCTGTAAGACCGTGGTGGGCAGATGCCAAAGCTAGCCCCAGCGGGTGTCAGTGGGGCCCAGGGAACGCACAGCCTCCCACAGGCAGAAGAAATACAAAGAAGTCAAAGAAACCTTCCATGGTGACACATGAGCCATGAGAAAATTCACACCATTGTAAACATAACAATGACCACACCATGCCTCCTCCCTAATGCTACTTTATAAGTGGGGAAACTAAGGGTCAGAGAAGTTAAGTTGCCTAAGGTCAGTTAGCAATTTCCTCAGCCGTAAGATGATAACAATTTTAGTGTATCTTCCTCATAGGATTACTGTAAAGATAAAATGAGATGCTACCTGCAAAGCAGTTAGAATGATGCCTGGCGCAGCACAGTAACGTTAATACAGATAAAGTGAGTTTTAAATGTTTAGAAATGACGGAATCTATCAAACAAAACCAGGATATTATGAAGAACTGGCACTTTAAGAAAAGGAATTCTAGAAATAAAAATGTAGATATTAGAAAATTCTAGCCAGTCTTAGAGGAAGCATTGAAATTTCTTGAGCAGGAAGGACTGGGGTTCAGAAGACCACTGGAGCTGGGGAGACCAGGCTGAAGCCATCAGGAATCTCAGTGACCAATTCCACCTTTCCCTAAGGCAAGAATTTGCACGTGGTGGAGCTTGCTACACAATGGTTCCAGGGACTGAGGACTTTTAGCTCTGAAAGTCTTTGTTCATGGTTTATATCAGGTAGGAAGGCAGGGTGTCTACATGTGCAGCGAGATTTCTGGATACAGATCCAGCCCTGTGACCACAGACAGGTTCCTTGGCCTCTCTGATGCTCAGTGGCCCACCTGTAGTCCCGCACCCAGAAGGGAGAGAGTCAACTTGAGTGAGGCTCAGAATGAGATGGCCACAACTCAAGTTCTCACCCTACGGCTTATTGACAAGGCAAGCCTTGGGCATGTGTATTTAACTTCTCAGCCTCAGTCTCCTCTTCTGTGAAATGGTGATAATAATAGTATACCTACCTATAGGGTTGTTTGTGAAGACAAAATGAGTTACTATAAATAAATACACACATAAAATACTTTGATACAATCCCGGCACATAATAACTTTGTGCTCAATAACCTTGTGAGGTTATTGTAAGGATTGAATTCATTGATGCTAGTGCTTAGAATACAGTAGATAATAAATAAATACTCAGTGATGATGGATGATGTTTTATAACTAGACTACCAATTCCTGGACTGTTTCTTCTTCTTCTTCTTCTTCTTTTTTTTTTTTTTGAGAAAAGGTCTTGTTCTGTTGCCTGGGCTAGAGTACAATGGTGTCATCACAGTTCACTGCAACCTCAAAGTCCTGGGCTCAAGGGATTCTCCCACCTCAGCCTCCCAGTAGTTGGGACTACAGGCATGCGCCACCATGCCCAGCTAATTTTTTCTATTTTTAGTAGAGTCAGGGTCTCCCTATGTTGCCCAGGCTGGTCTCAAACTCCTGGACTCAGGTGATCCTCCTGCCTTGGCCAGGTGCGAGACACCCCACCCAGTCTGTTTCTCCAGCATACAACTGCTGAATGAACAGCAATCGAATAAGCAGATGGCGGGAATGTGGCTGATGTGGGGAATCGGGTGGGTGGTGGGCAAGTGAGGGAAATGGGTGAAGGTGGCCACAGAAGGGGACAGTCTTCCCGTACGCAGAATGCAGCCCTCCCTCCTTTACAGGATTCAAGAGGGGGCAGGTGTGTACCCATCCTTTCCTTCCTTCCTTCCCCTCCCACACAAGGGCACTACTTCATAAGATTGAAAGAGCTCAGTGAGTTTATTTGGGGAACACAAAAGGGGCCAGAAGTTTCACTGGCATGTATACACACACACACACACACACACACACACACACACACACGTGCACACGCACATCCTGAGCAATGTTGCCCCGGAGGTTGACATTGTCTGCTTGGGGTCCTCAGATTTCAGAGTCAGGTGTGGATGTTGTCAGGGGCCCGAAGAGGCCTAGGTTATGTAGAAGAAATGGTGATGGGGAAGGGGCCAGGAGCCCTCCCCCTGCCCACCAGGCCCTGGGATCCCTGTTCCCTCTCCCTCCCTGAGAGCCAGCGCACGCTGCCATCCCTGCCTCTCTCTCTCCCTCTCCCCCTTCCCTAGGGACAGTCCCAGCTCACCTGGTCAGCTGGGGGTCACCTGGTACTCCAGGTCCCCATGTGGCCACCACCACCCCATGCTGGCTCCGGCCCATCGGGATTGTCCATGTTCTCATAAGAGTCTGCATCTGGACAGCACCAGGAAGGAATAGGACATAGGTAGGGCTGGAAGTAGGCTGGGAGGCACAGTCAGCCCAGAGGACAGTAGGGACAGTGGCAGAAGCACCCACCTTCCTCATGATCAGGACCAGGCTGGCCCCGGAGGGAGCGGAGCTGCGGGGCTGCATACAGGATCCCTCTCATATCCTCATAGGACTGGGACCCTGCTTGGGCAGGGGATGGAGAATTGGAAGCTTGGAGAAGGGAAGTGCAGCCTTGGTAAGGAGGGGTCTGAGGGGCAGAGGAAGGTGGGAGGCTTCACCAATGCTGTACTGGGAAGGGCTGATTAGGTCAGCGTCAGGCTGGGGGTCCCTGGGCATTTGTGGAGTCAGGGTTAGGTACAAGTTAGCTTATGGTCAGAGAAAGAGCCAAGAACAGAGCTGGACAGAGTCAAAGCCAAAGTCACGAGGAAGTTGTAGAGAGAGCTAGGGTCAAATGAAGTCTGCATTGGGGCTGGGGTGAAGTGGAGGTCATGTTTGGGCTGGAACTGGATTGGGATCCGTGCTGATGTTCACAATTAGGGAAGGTATAAATACTGGGGGTCAGGATGGGGCATGCGGTCAGAATTGAGGGTAAAGTTAGGAGTCAAATCTAAGGTCAGGGTTGGGCTTGGGTTTGTGTTCAGAGTCAGGTCAAGGCATGGCCTTGGTGTCAGAGCTGTGGCCAGGTCAGCCCAACCTGGGCAAGGCAGGCTGGTCCCAAGCATCTCTCACCAAGGGAGGCTGCTTCCCGGCTGGGGTCCCAGGCAGACCCATGGGGGCTCAGGAAGTCTGGAGAAGGAAGAGGGAGGTCACTATTCCTCCTGGCCTTAAGGTCCCTCTTCCCCCAGGAATGTGGCCATTCTCACACACACCCATTGTCCTGGCAACTGGCTGGGCCAGCTCTTCATCCTCGTTCTCGTAAGACTCAGCTCCTGCAGAAGAACGAGAACTCCAGGGACCACCGCTGCCTGATAGGGGCTCCACAGTGCCGTGGGTCTTCCTAAGTCTCTGAGGCCCCACAAGGATCCCAAGTTACCGTCGGAGAAGGAGTCTTCATCCTCAGGACCCAAGGGCTCGTCCTCAGGGTTCTCATAGCCGCTGCCATCTGGTGGAGAAGGAGGGACGTCCAGCGAGGGTCCAGAGCCCCTGCTGAGAGGTGGGGGAGGGATGGGGGAGGGCAGCCTTACCTTGGGAGAGCTGGTCCTGCCCAAGGTTGGAGTCGTTCTCGTAGCACTCAGAGTCTTCCTTGCTGTCTGGCTCCTGAAAGCCCTCCCCTTGCTCCTGTTCTGGGCCTGGGGGTTTGGGGATGGGGGTGGGAAACTGTCACGCCCCCTCCTTCAGGCCCCAGTCCACTATTCCAGCCACAGACAATCCCAACACCCTCCATGTGAGGAATGACCCCCGCCTCATTCACCCGCTCCTGGAGGGCTCCGGGACCCCGCGGCTCCAGCCTCCTGGACATCACTGTGCAGGTTTGCGTGGGACCGTGTTGCGCCCCCCAGGCCTGCCGCCCAACGCTGGGCGCGTCCTGGCCAGAGGGGCGTTGTAAGGTGGGGTCGGAAGGGATGGGGGCGGTCAGGGCCCAAGTCCGCGCGCCGCGGGGAAGGAAGAGAGGATGCTTGGGGCTCTGCGAAAGGACTCTGGGTCGCGACCCATGCGGGCGGGATGTAAACCTAGGGGCGAGGCCTCAAGTTCTGGAGCGAAGTTCTGCTCTTGAACAGGACTTCAGGCTCAGGCCTTGGGGCGGGGCTCAGAGCCCTTGAGGCGGGGCTCGGTTTCAGGGGCGGGGCTCCCTTCTGGGAGGGATTCCCCACCTCGAGGGCGGAGCTCTGAGCTCCAGAAGACTTGGCGCTCAGGGGATTGGAGGGAGGAGGACAATGGGGGTGGAGCTCTAGCTCTGGGGCGGAGCTATAGGCGGGAGGGCCTGGATCAGAGGCCAGGTGGCGCCTCTTACCCATGCCGGAGGTGGGCGTGGGAAGGAATAGCACGTTCCCATACTGGTTCTGGGGCCCGCTTCCTGGGGGAGGCGTCACTTTGAAGAACCTGGCATGACAAGGGGAGATGCACTGTGAGTCCAGCCCTGGAAGGGACTTGGGGACACACTCAAGATTCAGGCTAGGCTTTCAGAGGTTAAACGTGGTCACTTGTGATTAGCTCTTCTGGGCTGGGACAGCCTACAGAGGAGTCTGGGATCACTCCAAGGAGGTCTTCACAGAGGGGTTAGCTGTGGAGCGGAGCTTTGAGGTTATGCAACATTTCAACAGGTAGAAATGGAGCAAAGACACCCTGGGCAGAGAAAACAGTAAGTGCAAAGCATAAAGTGAATGGGGTGGGGTGCACTTGCTGCATTACCTCCTGGTGGGGTCAGTCATTCGCTTTCTTTTCCTCCTCAGGATCAGGGCTGGTGGGAATTAAGGGTAGTGATCAGAGGGGGGGCTACTTGGCAGGGTGAGGATTTGGGGGTGCTGGGGAAATCATTTGGGTTAATAGAGGAGATGGGAGTTAAAATTGCAAGGGGCTTGGGAAACTTGAGGGGGGTTTGAGGAGGAGTGGGTGGATAGGGTTCTGGGGTCTGTGGGGGAGGAAAGGGAGGAGAGAAAGATGGTTGTCAGACTGGCCAGTGTGGGCTTATCCTGGGGAAGATGGGGTAGGGTTTTGGCCAACCAGCTGAGGGGCATGACTCACCTCTTTGAACATGAAGAAAGCCTAGCAGGAAACCCAGGCAGAAGATCAGATAAATCAAAGTCACAATTGGGACCTTCCAGCCACCAGTCCCCAGCAGCCAGCGCCGTAGTGCTGGGGGAAAGGGGCTATGAGACGAGGACCCCAGGCTGGCATCTTACTTTCCAACCTCAGGACCTCAAAGGACCATAAGTCTGGGGGACAGGGGCAAGGTACAGTCTCAAAGTCCTCCCTCCCTCTACAGAGCCATGGCCCAGGAGGACAGAGACTGTGCTACAGAGCCTGGCACAGGGAATGGGGGGCAGTGTCTATTGAGCAAACTAGGGACAAACCATGCCTGTAGTCAGAGGCTATGTTAGGATTGAGGGGACATAATGGTCAGCTTCCTGCTGCAGTTAAGGGCAGTCATGGTCAAAGTGAAGGGCAGCATTGAGTTCACAAGGTTAGAGTTCAGATCCAGCATGCTGCTGAACTCAAGTTGAGAGTGAAAGTTGAGGCTGAGTTTGAGAATTGTGGTTAGGATAGCATGGGAGGATTGTATGAGGGAGACAGAATGGGCGGCACATTGTGACCAATTTGACAGATGGGGTGAGGAAAAGGAAGGATGACCAGGATCCCAGCTTGCACCAGTAGGCAGATGGTAGTGTCCTTTGTGTATGCGGGGCCACCCAGAAGACTACACTGGGGGAAGATATTGAGTTTGATTTGGGATATGTTGAGCCTGAGGTGTCCATGGGATATCAAATGGCAATTCCAGGATATGGCTGGGGCTGGGAGTATGGAGCCTGGAATAGAAACACCGAGGCATGGTGACCCAAGAAGCCATGAGATTGAAGGAGATCAAATGGGAAAAGTGTGTAGACAGAGGTGAGAAGAGGGCCCAGGGCTCCAACAGGAAGCTGGAAGAAAGGCTCCATCTAAGCTGGTGGGAAGGAACAACCAGTATAGAAGACCCAGAAAAGTAGTGTCTTGGAAGCAAGGGAGGAGAGAGTTGGAGTGAGTGTTCTGTGTAGAAGTTGGGGTTTGGGATGAGGCTGCAACTAGTCCTCAGGTTGGGGATCCACAATTGACTGGTTTCCTCTTCCCAGTAGCCCTACACAGATGCCCCACAATTGAGAGAAACTCTACCTGGCCGGGCAATGACCTCCAGGTGCATCGAGATGGTCAGGTTACCACGGTGACAATAATAGATGCCAGCATCTTGAGCTGTGGCCTGGGGCAACAACAGACCAGTCCCCAGGACCCACATATCTCTGGCTTGGTGACCCTCCCTGAGGTCTAGGCTCAGCAATGAGAAGTTATGCTTCTTGGGGTGCACATGGGTCCAGGAGATGCGGCTTCTGGCCACAGCATCACGGGGCACCCCACAGGACAGCCAGAGTATAGAGCCAGGGGCCATGGTGAGGTCTGGGGCAGGGAGAGACAAGACTAGGAAAGCCTAATCCTTGGGGTCTCATCTACCCCAAACCCTCCAGTTTCCACTCACCATTCCCCATCCCTGGACCCCCACTTTCTGGCATCTCCCCAGCACTGTCACCTTACCTTGGCTGAGGCTCTTGTTCAGACTGTCCCTAGGTGGGGCACACATAGGCTCTCCCTTCCAGATCTCAGGGCCGTCATTGGCCCACACGTACAGCTGGGAGCTGTTGGGGTGACCAGAAGAGGGCCTGGGGTCCTCTGAGGACCTGTTCCCCAGGCTACAGCCCAGGTCCTGTAGGTCTGAAGCATTCCAGCGGAACAGCTCCCCTGGGAAGAGACCCAGAACCAGATGCAGAGACATCTAGGAGAGGGTGAGAGATAGGGACCCAGGAAGGCAGAGACAAATAGAGACACAGACCCAGAGACAGAGAGACAGAGAGAAGCAGCAACTTGGACAGCGAGAGAAGAATGAGAGACCAAGAGCTGTGGAGCAGCTCAGTGTTGAAGTCATGGAGCTGCAGGTGTGTGCCCAGCTACAACTCACTCCTTGCAGGTCCTCCAGCCCCTCCCCCCACTCCACTGTGGCTACTGGACCTCTTGTGTCCCCAACAGGCTTCCCTCCTCACCTCTGGGCCCTCACCCCAGCCCAGCCCAGCCCTCACCGCTGTCCTCCACGCTGACTGTCCAGCCAGGCTGCTCAGCCTTCTCAGAGGGGGGCCACGCCTGGCACAGGTAGAAGCCCCCCATCTGCTCAGAGACATTGAAGATGAACATCAGGACGCCGAGGTGCCCCACGTGGAGGCCCAGGCCTGGTAACCCCAGGTTCAGCTCTAAGAAGGGTTCTGGCTGGGACCCCCGCTGCCAGGCCAGCTGCTCAGGGGGGCCATCTGTAGGATTCTTGAGGCACTGCAGCACAGCATCACCTCCCTCTGCGGAGAGAGGGGGAGAGAGGAAGAGAGAGAGGGGTGGGGAGCCCTGGCCCCCTTCACTGCTCACACTGGGTCATAAAGCAAAGGACCCCACAAGCTGGAAGCGGATGAACCCTTGAGTCCTTCCAAACCCTCCCCGAATTTTACAAATAAGAAAATGGAGGCTCAGAGAGAGTAAGTTACTCAGCCAAGGGCACCCAGCCCCGACCCAAGTTTCCAGCCCCGACTCCTTCCCTCTCTGCCTTTTGCACGTACCTTCCACCTTCACCAGCCACGGTTCCTGGGGCCTGACGCCCATGGGGGTAAGGAAGAGGAGAAAGAAGAGGAGGAGAGGAGGTGGCATGGTGGCCACACTCCCTGGGGCACCCAGCTTCGCGCAGGGGATGCCGGGGCAGGCGGGGGCCTGGAGGGCACTGAACCATGGGTGTCTGCGGGGGTGGCTGGCAGTCCCCCCCCGAGAGGAAGGGGATGGTCACGCCTCACGCCCCCTCCTCCAAGCACCCCTCCAGACCCACAAAACTTGCCTCCGTCCTGCTACACTGTTTTATTTTCATCCCGGCACTTACCACCCTGTAAAATGATCTTACTTGTATGTCTACTCATTCACTTGTTTCCGGCACTAGAAGGTAAGCCCCTTGGAGTGGAGACTTTGTCTTTTTCACCACTAAACGCACAGTGCCCTAGAACAGTGCTCAGCACATAGTAGGCAATGGGAAACATTTGTCGAATCAGTGGATTCAGCCTTAGGGGCTCCTCCTTCTCCCCCATCTTCCTCCTCCCACCCCGGTTTCTGTTCACATGCACACACACCCATTCATTCACTCTGCAAACATTTCTTGGGCCTCCTTCTGCCTCCATGCAACCACCCATAGCACACTTTGGGATCTGGCAGACCTGAGTTTGAATCCTCCACCTCCACCATTTGGCTACATTTCTTTATCACTCTAAGCCCCAGTTTCTTTCTCTATCAACGGTGGGTAATAATAGCACTACAAACATATTGTTTGTGAAGGTTAAACAGGACAATATATGTCAGGCATTATTATCCCGGCACCAGCACATAGTAGGCCCTCGGTTAATGAGAGGTAGCACTACATAATGGCTAGGAGCTCAAGTCAGATTGCCTGGATTCAAAACCAGGCCAAAGCCGGGTGTGGTGGTGCACACTTGTAATCCCAGCTCGTTACTCGGGAGCCCGAGGCCGGAGGATCACGTGAGCCCAGGAGTTCAAGGCTGCAGTGAGCTATGATTGCGCCTGTAAATAGCCACTGCATTCCAGCCTGGGCAACATAGCGAGACCCTGTCTCTAAAAAAATAAACAAAATGAGGCAAGTTTCCTTATCTATAAATTGAGGGTGATGAGAGAACCTACCACATAGATCGTTTGGAGGATAAATCAGTCAATATATATAAAGTCGAGAGGGGGGTTGGCAGCTGGTTGGAGAAAGCGGCAGCCACTGTAGCTCCTTTGTAGTGGTCCCTAGAAATGACATGATTAATGCCCTTTTCTCACTCAGTTCTTCCCCCAAGAAGCCCTTGCATCAGTTAGGGAAGGAACCCATTTAGAAATGCAGCAATTGGAGCTCCAAAAAGGGCAGGGCCTTGCCCAAGGTCACGCATTGAGCTGGTGGTCTAGTGAGGACTAGAACCCAGGAGTCCTGACGCCACAGTCTGTCCTTATTCTGCCCCATGCCTCCTCATCCCCTCTCTCTCTCTCTCCCTCCTCTCTTGCTCTGTCTGTGTCTTTCACTGCTGCAGGCATTCAGAGAAAGAGTCCAGAGACCCAAGAGACCTACTTTCTCAGAGGCCGATTCCCAGGCCCCTCTCACCAGGCTGTGGCTTCCTGTTTGCTCCGGGGCAAACCCCAGGGGACCCTCCAGGTGGCAGGGCCTCCACTTCCCTTTGGCCGCTGAGGGGGCTGGGAGGGGAAGAGTGGGGCACTGGGGAATGAAGAGGGTGAGTAACAGGACCCCCATCTGCCTTTCATTCAACAAAATCTAATCCCTTGATCTAGCTCCCCTGTTGGCTAGTCTAGCTCTCGCTAGAGCACATCAGTCCCCTGCTTGAAGCATGTCAGTAGCTTTTCAGCTACCTAAAATAAAACAACTCCAAGCCATGGCCTACAAGACCGGGTGACGCTGGCCCTACTGGGTCGCCCCACCACTCTCCCCGCACACTGTGCTCCGCCTTGCCCAGCACTTTCCCACTGCAGGGCCTTTGCACTTGCTCTTCTTCCTGGGTCTCTGCTCTGCTCTTTGCTTGACTGGCTGCTTTCCTCATTCAGGTGTCAATTCATACGGTACCTTCTCAGCGAGGCCTTCCCTGACCCCTCCCCCTAGGTACTTTGTTGATCTCACATCCTCATTTTATTTTCTTCCCAGCACTTGCCTCAATCTCAAATTATGCTTCTTTACTTGTTGGCTTTCTCATCTGCCTCCTGCCCCAGAATGTTCACTCTTGAAGAACAAGGATCTTTACTGTCCCTAGATGTACACTGGCATCTAGTAGGTGCTCAATAAGTCATTTGTGGAATAAAGGAAGAAAAGAAGTTAGGAAGAGTGAAAGCAAACTTTCTTTTCTCTTCCCCTGCATGCATTCAGTCACCAAGGCTAGTCCATTTTGTATCCTAAATATTTCTAGAATCAATTTTCTGCTCTCTTTGGACCCTTCCTTCACAACTAGAACCAATTCAACAGCCTCTATCCTGGGTCCCCTCCCCTGTGTCTTTTGCTTCCCACCTACATTCCGCCTATCAAGGGAAATTCTTTGATATTAGTCATGTGCTTCCCTGCTCAGTAGCCCTCAGTGGCTCCCAGGGCTTCTCCACGAACCGACTGGAGCCTTATTTCCAGTCATTATTTCCCCCCTCCCCCAGAAACCCTGCCACATTCACAGGGAGTGTGGACTTAATTCTGAGGGCAAGAAGCTATTGGGGGTCTATAAGTCAGGAGTTGACCTGACCAGATTTGTATTTTCCACAACTCCCCCTGGCTGCCATGTGGAGGGTGGATTGGAGGGAGGCTGGAGACACCAGCGTGAAAAGCGCTCATTCATCCATTCATTCGCCAAATGTTTATTTACTACTATGTTTATTTACCAGCACCTTGCTATTGGCTGGGGAAACAGCAGGTGACAAGAAAGGGTTCCTAATCTCATGGGGCTTTGATGCAAGTTTTGGGGCCAAGGAAGGGTAAAGGGGACAGGTAATAAACGACCAATAAACAATTTCAGGTGGTGAAACGTGCGCTGATGTGATATAATGGTGAACAGGTGATGGAGGTGGTTACTTTAGACGGGGTGGGCAGGGAAGGCTTCATTGAGGAGGTGACATTTGAGCCGAGACCTGAGACCTGAGGTGGGGAAAAGCTTCATGTGTTCAAGTAAGTGCATGTTGAGACACTGCCATATTCTTTTTTCCACAGTGGCTGTACCATTTCACATTCCCATCAACAATCTATGAGAAACCCAGTTTCTCTGCGTACTCACCAGCACTTGGTGTTATCGCTCTTTTATTTTAGCCATTCTGAGAGGTGTGTAGTGATGAAAGTAGTTGTGGCTTTTGTTAGGGTGGGCTTGAATCTCCTAATTTTCTAATAACAGCTAAAAATCAGCCTTGAGCTCTCCCTACTCTCTTTGCTGCTTTTCTCCCAAACTAGCAGGCAACCTGCTGGGAAAGACAACGCCTGCTTTCTAATTTTTCTAATTTTTAATTTTTTTCTGTTTCTCATACCTTGTCCTTCCTTTTATTACATGTATATAATAAAAAGGGTGGAATGTTCGGCTTAAAGAATTCACCCTCTCCAAACTTCCATCCAAACCTCCTAAAAAACCCACCGCTCTCCCCATCCTAGGGGTGTATTAGGCACCTAGCCTTTGCCAGACCCCTAGGGAGATACAGGAATGAAATGCAAGAGGGGAACTTACTTTCCTTATCCCTCCCAGTTGTTTGAAAAGTATTTACTTCTCCCAGAATAACCCTCTATAAAACCCAAGGCTCTCCCCTTTTCTCTTGTGGACGCCTTTTTCGGCCGCCACCCATCTGCACCCAGATGGTCAAAATAAAAAAAAAAAACGGCGTTTTGCTACACATGAGGCTTCACCTCTCTCTCTCCCCAGACCTAACAGCTTGAATGTGCATTTCCCTAATGGCTAATATTGAACATCTTTTCATGGGTATATTTGTCACCTGTGACATCAGTGAAATGTCTGTTCATGTCTTTTTTCCATTTTCAAACCAAATAACTAGGTTTTTAGCAGGGATGAGACATGATTTACGTTTTACAAAAATCACTCCAGCTGCTTTGAGTAGAATTAAGTAAAGGGGCCAAGAGTTGACACACCTGTGGCGCACATAGGAGAGGAACTATGGCCGTCCAGGAGAGAGAAGAGAGGAGCTGCAACTGGGTGCTAGCGCTGGAGATGGAGGGAAAGGGACACAATTCTGGAATATTCAGTACACTAGAGGGAGAATTTCCAGGACTTGCAGGAGGATACGAAGAATCAAGGACTTCCAGGTGCCTGGGGTGTCCTTTACAGAGGGAGAAACAGATTGGGGGAACGGAAATCGAGGCTCTGGACTTAAGTTTGAGTTGCCAGTCTCCATGCAAGGGTGGAGGTCACAGACAATGAGAGCTTGACCTAGGCAGAGGCGCAGAGGAGAGCAGGGATTTGAGAGGGAGGGGGATTAGCAGGAAGCGGTGACTGGTTGCATATCAACACGAGGGTGAGGACGTGCAAGTTTCCGACTTCTACGACTGACGACACGGGGACTCAGAGGCGCCCAGAAAAATGAAGCCGACCCAGCCCTGCCCCGAGGGACGCTCCACGAGGGCGGAGGTGCAGGGAGGGCCGGGTGACGGTTCGCTGTAGCCAGCCAGGCTGCAGCGGAAGCGCGGCCAGGGCCGATCAAAGCTCGGCTCCAGGCTGGGGGAGAGGGAGAGAGAGCGCGCTTAGTCCTCCAGGCCGACGGCACTCGGCGTCCCGAAGGAGGTGTAATTGGAGCAGAACTTCCAAGGTCATGGAGAGAAGCTAGGGAAAGCCTTTGAAGAAAAAAACCTCTTTGGGTTTGGAGGGCAAGCGTGCACACTAACAGGGTGGCCCCGCCACGTAGGGAGAGGGGCGGGGCCGGGTCCCACTCGGGCATCTTCGGCCGACGCTCGGCAATCCCCCCACCTCCGGCCGGGGCCTCAGCCCCCGGGGCCTATCCGGAAACAACCGAGCGGATCCGGAAACAGCCGAGCGGACCCGGAAGCGGTGAGAGCCGTCTCCAGGGAGTGCGGGAATCCGCCGTTTGCGCTGAGGCGATGGCGGCAGCTGCGCCGGCGGCCGCGGGTGAGGACGGGCGGCGGCGGCAGCCGGGGGCCGGTTCGTGCGGGGCGTCCATGCACGCGGGGAGCGATGAGGCTGGGGGCAGGGCGGAGCTCGGTGGCTGGTGGATGGGGGTGGAGAGGGGCGAGTGGAGGAAGGGGCGGGGCCACGCCGCTGGGGAAGGGGGAGGCGGAGCCTGGAGCCACGGGAGAAATGGGCGGGGCCAGTGGCAGGTGAGAGGTGGGGCCCCTGTAAGGGAGGGGTCGCGGCGCCTGTAAGGGAGGGGTCGCGTCCGAGAAGAGAGGGGACTAGGCGAACCGGGGAACGCGGAAGAGGTGGGCTATGGGCAACGCAAGGCCAGCAAGTTGGGAAGGAGGCGGGGAAGGGGCGGGGCCAGGTGAGCAGGGCAGGGCCAGGTGAGCAGGCGGGACCAGGTGAAGGCGGTGTAGCTGTGGCCGCAATACTAGGTTGCTGAACTTGCTGATTTGGTGGGTGGCTTGGGTGTTGGGGCTCTGAGAAGTGATGGGAAGAGAGGCTGACTCCTGTCGCCTACAGCGCTGGACCCGCAGGCCGGGGAAGGGGCAAAGGCTGAGGCTGAGTCAGATGAGCTGGGCCGGCTTCGGGCTGAGCTGGCAGGCGCCCTGGCAGAAATGGAGACCATGAAGGCTGTGGCGGAGGTGAGCGAGAGCACGAAGGCTGAGGCTGTGGCTGCAGTTCAGCGGCAGTGCCAAGAGGAGGTGGCTTCACTGCAGGCCATCCTGAAAGGTGAGACCAGGGCTCCCCCGCACTCCCCATCAGCCCCATAGAGGGAAGTGCACGAGGAGAGAGAAAGGAGTCTGGGGGCGCAGAGAAGCTGTGGGGCAGGTTAGCAGGGCTGCCTAGCAAGGGGCATGCCCGTGGCCCAGAGGAAGGGGCTCCCTTTTCTAATTTGCATGGATAGCAGCAGCTCTGTCAGTTACAGCTAAGTTTAGCTCCGAGCTTCTATGTTCCCTTGCCCAGTGTCATTTCTTGTGCCTCACCGATGACTGATCAACCCTGAAGATGAGAAGAAACTTCTCAGTTCCCTGAACCAGCCTCATTTTAGTGTGGGCCTCTGGGCTCAGACAACCCTGGGGCCAGGCTCTGTGAGTCTAATCCTCTGGTCTCCATCCTTCCCCAGACGTCCCTACATCTGCCCCCCATCCCCATGCACCAGCTTCCACCTCACATTCTCTGTGCTTGGGAAGCACCAGCTCCCCGGGCTCCAGATGCCTCAGCTGCTTCTTCTGTTTTCTCCTCCCCCTCCCCTAGCCAAGACCAGAGTTCCTGAAACAGATGTCAGAGCTGCCCACACCCCTCTGCCACCACTGCCCCTGCTGTAGTGGAGCTCTGGTCAGCTCTCTCCTAGACTTTTGTCCCAACTTTCTCACAGATCTCCCTCTGTAGTCTGGCCTGCAGACTACATGGCTTCCAGAGTAAATCTCCTAAAATTCCCATCCCATAATGCCATTTCCCTTTCTAACAACCACTCCTGGCTCCAGACTACTCTGGGGCTGTATTTCCCACGTTGAAGGCATCTGCACACCTGTGCAGCATAGTTGTGTCCGCATACAGCTCACCCTGCTAGTTATTTAATATTTGTTCTTTAAATAGATCCACTTTTTAAAAGCTCTGGCACTCTGGGATGCTGAGGTGGGAGGATTGCTTGAGCTTCGGAGTTCAAGACCAGCCTGAGCAAGAGCAAGACCCTGTCTCTACTAAAAATAGAAAAATTAGCCAGGTGTGGTGGTGCATATCTGTAGTCCCAGCTACTTGGGAGGCTGAGGCAGGAGGATCTAGTGAGCCCAGGAGTTTGAGAGGTTGCAGTGAGCTATGATGATGCCATTGCACTC